TATGATAAAGCAGTAATCCAGTAAGTAAACTGTTCTCCTCATTTCTGTGAGCTGCTCTAGCAAATTAATTGAACCCAAGGGAGGGGGGTCCTGGGACCTTCCAATTTACAGCTGGTTGGTCAGAAGCACAGGTAACAACCTGGACCTGTGATTGGCGTCTGAAGTTGGGGCGGGGGCAGTCTTGTGGGGCTGAGCCCTTAACCCGTGGGACCTGCCACTGTCTCCAGGTAACAGCACTGAGCTGAACTGTAGGACACCCAGCTGGTGTCAAAGGACTGCTTGATATGTGGGAAGCTCCCATTCACCTGGGGTCAGAGGTGGAAGAGTGCTGTCATGGAGGAGACACAGCAGTGGATCTTTCCTGAGAACCTAACAAGAGCTTCCAAACACAAGCGTCTGAGCCCACAGTGAATGAGTGTGAGCACGTGAACGTTCCTAAAACCTGGCAGGCTCCTATGGGAAGCACGGCAGATATCATCCCTACAAAATGACAGAATGCAAGACCCACAAAGGGTTCTCTGCATGCACGGGGAAAGCCGCACTACGAAAGTAAACAGAGTGGCTATGGAGGGCAGATTAAGCTGATCTTCTGGGAAAAAGGCTAAAACTACAAAGAAGACTGTCCTGAGGCAAAATGCAATACATGAAGGAACATCTGACCCCGAAAGGAGAACTAGACAAATTTACAATTATAGTTAGAGACATCGACATGCCTATCGGTAACAGAACTAGTAGACAAAGATTGGTGAAGACACAGAAGAGCTAAACAACACCATTAACCAAATCACTGGCATTTATAGAACACTCCCCAGCAAAAGCAGAACACAAAATTTTCATGTTCACATGGAACATTCATCAAGACAGTTCAGATCCTGGTTATTAAAATAACCTAAAATTTAAAATCATACAAAGTATGTTTCTAACTATAATGGAATTAAACTAGAAATCAGTAAAGATAGGAAAATCTCAAATCAGTCGGAAATTAAACAACCTGCTCATAAATAATCCACCAAAAAGATGGTCTCAAGAGGAATTAGAAGATATTTTAAACGGAAGAAAAATGCAATTACAATGTATTAAAATTTGTGGGCACAGTTAAAGGAAGTAGTACTTAGAAGGAATTTATAGCATTGAGAGCTTATATTAGGAAAGCAGGCCTCAGATCAATAAGCTTCCATCTTAAGAGACAAAAGTAAGCCCACATCTTCCAGAATGAAGGAAAGAGAGCAGAAATCAATAAAACTGATAACAAAAGCAAATGAAGCCAAAAGCTGGTTCTTTGAAAAGATTAGTAAAATTGATAAGCCTCTAGCAAGCTTGACAAAAAAGAACAAGCCATACTGTTAGCAATATCAGGAGTAAAACGTGATTATCTGAATTTGCATTTCACTGACTTAGTGAGGGTTACCTTCTTTTTCATGTTGATCAATCATCTATTTCTTTGATGAATGGCCTATTTATGTGCTTTGCCAAGCTTAAAATTATTTTGGGAAAACTAGAAAAGCACACTGCCTTTCCCCCACCCCCACCCCCCAGTCGGTATCTGTTTAACTAGCTAGGATCTCTGTATTATCTATCTGACCCCAATCTTGTGTCAAACGTGTTGCAAATGCTTTGTCATAGCCCGTTGCTGACTGTATGCTTTCTTTTGTATAGAAAATGCTAATTTGCAGAGTCAAACCTCAAACCCTTTCTTTATGGGGTATTTTGAGTCACCTACAGAAAGATTCACCCTTTGGTCATAAAAAAATTCTTATGTTCTTCCAATGCCTTTAAAAAAAATCTTACCTTTTGCTTTTAGATCTTTAATCCAACCGGAATTAAGTTTTTTGGTGAATATGAATTAGGGATCCAACCTTTTTAAAAAAAATTCAATTAAATGGGAAGAAAAAGGCCCTAACACCATCCAGTGAAGAGCCCTTAGTGATGTAAAATGTCACATCATGCTTCTTCATAAATTGTCACAGATACAAGGGAAAGTTTCTAGACGCTGCTCTTCTGTGGATCAACTGGTCTACACCTGGGCTCACAGCACTGTTCTAACTTAATTTTGCAGTGCATTTTAGTATTTGGTATGGCAAGTCTCCCTACCCGCCCTTGTTCTTTGCTTTCCTTGGCAATTTTCTTTTTTGTATGAACTTTAGAATGAGCTTGTCGATTTCTATTTTAACATTCCATTTGGGAATTTTATTAAACTGCATTGAACTTACTAATTTTGGAGGACTGACATCTTTATAATATTGACTCTTTCTATCCCCAAATAGAGTATGTCTCCATTAAGTTGGTCTTCTTATATTTATTTCAATAAAGTTTTCATCAAAAGGTCTTTCACATTTCTTGCTGGATTTTTTTTCCCGTTTCCATCAAATTTTGTAAATGCTTCTTGCCTCTGCATAGGAAAGGGGCTGAACTGGGAGGAATGCTGTTACTTTTTCTAATGAATGAAGGAAGGAGAGAGAAATGTGGGTGAAGACAGAAGTTGACGATGCTGTCATTAATCATGTATTTTGGAATTACCTCAAAAGAACCAGGGAATTGGAAATGACCCAATTGTTTATCAGCAAGGAAGTAGTTAAAGAAAACATGGCATATTCACACAATGGAACATTATTCAGCCTTCGATAGGAAGGAGAAAGCTCTCAATGTACCCAGACGTGCCAAGAGCTCCAAGATGCAGTATAGATGGAAAAAGACAGTGTGTGTAACATGTTGCCTTTTGTTTGAGGAAGAGAGGAGGAATAATACCTGTGTCCACATCAAGGAACTCTGGAAGGATACACACACTAGCCAGTGGTTACTGTAGGTGTGGGGTGAGCAGTGAGTGAGGGAGAGGCAAGGAGGCCCCAGGCTGACCTTCCATACTGCTTTGATTTTTGACATGTAAAAATGTATTAGCTATTTTTAAAAATCCTAGAGAAAACAGGAAAAAAAAAAAAAAAACCAAAACCAAAACTGAATACCCACTCTGTGAAGGTATGTCTCCCCCTGAAAACTCCAAGCTGTGTGTGGTTAAGCTAGGCTGACGGCAGAGCCAGCTAGGGGCCTGTAGGGCCCGCAATTGTAGCCCCTCCCTCCTGGGCCTGAACCTGGCTGGAAGGGTACTTTGAACCTCACCATATTCAAAACACGTAGATTTTTGGATAGTGAGGTGTAAATCCTGAATTTCCACCATAAAAACTAACCTTTCCTAGGAATAAAATTTGAACTTGATTACACCAACAATAGAAGCTTATCGAGTTTTTCAGAAGGACCAGGGCTTCCTTAGGTGAGCCAGGCTGCTGGCTTTTCCATGTGTTCTGATTGGGACACATAGACTCTGTTCCACTTTCCTCCACAGCAGGACTGATTTCCCAGGGATGCCCGCGGTGTGCCCTTCATAACAACAGTGCTCCTGTAGCCTGTGACTGCTGTTTATAGATTAAAGGACACCTTCTTCATGACTGCCACAGTATGTATGGCAAAGGTTAACATTTAATAATACAAAATATAAACCATAATTTTTAAAAAAAATGGCTTCTTCTTACGTACAGCATGGATTTAAGTTTGGGCCTCCTGCACTATTAGTGGGAAGGTAAATTGGCACAAGTTCTCTGGAGGGCAGTTTGGCTTTACGGCTCTTAAAAAGGAGCACATCTTTGACTTGGCAATTCCACTCCTAAGCGTTTCCCCACATACCCATGTGGGCCCAGGGAGGTGACCACAGCGCAGCATCCCGGGCAGACAGGGCACATCCGCACGCTGCCCCCATCGGAGCTCCTACGGTGGTGGGGAATGAGGAAAGGGAAGTGCGGGCAGCCCTGAGCATCTGGAAGACCCAGCCAACGCTCTCTGCTCACGCCTGCACAGGTTCAGGAAGCCCGGTGGCTCACGGGCAGGGGACACCACGCCTGCTGCCTGGGATCTTGCTGTGAGTGTGGCTTCAACTTAAACCCCAAACACTGGCCGTGTTGACTGTGACCGGTAGTGTGAACCAGTTAAGAGTGACTGCTTGTGACAGCTAACATCGCCATTAATCTGTCTTTTACTGGTTTTATGACCTAGGTGTTGACTAGGGCCAGAGACAGACAGCCTGTTTCACTTGAGGATTTCAAGGGAACTGGAGGCTCTTCTGTCTCTGTGCTGCCTTCTGCTCCTTGAGAGGAATCCTGGGGGTCAGGAGCAAATGCCTGCTTCCTGCCAAGAGCCCCCTCCAACAGCCCGCCTTGCTGGGGGCCCCGGCCTGGCACCAAACACCCCTCCCTCGTGGATGGATCCCGACGCTGCCCGCTGTGCTTTCTACGACGTTTTCCGTGGACTCGACTCGTACCCACGCCCAGCCGAGTGCTCTGCTGTGTGGCGTCACCCTGTGAGAACGGCTCTGACAACGGGTGAGACACCATCTCACCGCGACATCCCCGGAGACAAACACCAGACCCGGCCTAAAGCCAAGGCCGCTACATGGATCCCCAAACGTAACTACATTGGGTAAAAGTCTGAAGTCACGGGCTAGTGCTTAAAGCCAACATTACTGCAGGAAACAAAAAGAGGAAGGCAGGAAGGCCAGAGTACAGTAATCGGATAGCTGCAGATCAAGTAAAAAAATCCGAGTACCTAAGGACATTTTTCTTCTATTCTTGTTCAAGGACTCAGTCAAATAAACAGAGAAAAGAAGCAGCACAGACGAGGGCCAGCCGGCTCAGGCGTTTATTGGCAGAGAGCACAGGAGTGTTGCCACGGTAACTGCAGACATTAGATGCTGCTGGGCGAGGGCCGTCAGGCAGAGACCACCCTCCTGCGGGCGAAGGGCGGCAGCCACGGCTCAGGCCCCCAGGCACTGCCTCACCTTCACAGAGAAATACCCGACTCACAAGCGACTTCGGCACAGCCTTGGGCACCAAATACAAAACGACTGCGACAAGCATTCGGAAACCAGCTGGCACGCATTTTCAGTCATGCATTTTTAATTGATAATGTTTTCAGTGTACTGAACGCAGGGACAAAAAGACAAGTTATCAAGCTTGCACGTTTCTTTTTCTTTTCTTTTGAAATCAAAGCATGGTTTCACAGTGATGAAATCAACTTATTTCCCACCTCCAACAACTTGGCACTAAAGGTATATTAAACACGGAAAATACTCTTACCAGTTAAAATGAGGACGCTTTATAGTCCTTGAAATTCCAGTAAACACGTGTGTTTGAAATTTCCATGAAGTCTGAAGAAAAAAAGGTGCCACTCAACAGAAATCCCGGTGCCTTGTCCTACTGTGCCTTGCTGTGGAGACCACAGGGCTGTCCCCGGGGGCCTGCCGTCCACTTCCTGGGAGTGGCAGCCCTGGCGTCTGCATCTCGGGTCCCTGTACTCTGAGCCACCGCAAAGGGCTATTTTGAAGGTTAAATCAGATGTTAAAAGTGAGAACACCTTTAAGTTGTTGCCCCGTCGAGGCTTTACGATAGACATTTCAAATGACAGGATTAAAAATGAGGAATCTGTTAAACAAAAATTCTCCAGTAATTTCTCAATAAACTACGTTTTCTTTTAAAAGAAGAAAAGAAAAGTGGGCATGAAATCCTATACTTTGATCGGAGACACATTGAACAAGCAACGCAGCATTTGGGTACTGGATTTCTCCAAGTGCAGAAGTGTATTTCTCACGGCTCAGATAGGGCTAAAGTTTGAAGAATCAGGTAAAAACATGTATAAACAACCTAAATAGAAAACCAAATTTAAAAGCTTCAGGTGAAATCATTTCATCTTAAAATTAGAGGAGGAAATCTATTATTTGCCACTCCTCTCCTACGGCTTCGAAAAGGCAGTGACTGAGTTTTCACAGCTCTGGCTTCTGCTTCAATGTGTAACAGAGTGTGTGTAATTCACAGAATTTAGAGATTCGACACATTTCACCCCAGGCACTTATGGCCCATCCTACAAGTCTTGGACAGCTGAGCAGGCCTAGCCCTGAAAGCAGACGTTTATCGACAAATCGTCTGTTCTATTGCTTCTCACAGCCTCAAGTGACTGGTCAGTGCACACGGACAGCACAGCAGTCTGGGCACCTGCTTGCCCACAGGCTGTACCGTCAGGTACCAAGAGGCCAACTAAGAGTGCACAGACAGCGTTCCCAAGAAATACTGGTCCAAACAACAAAACCTGCAACCTAAACAGCAAAGCTCTTAACCCTAGAATGTAAAACAAGACAACTGGGTAACTAGGCACTGACGTCAACAGTCGCAAACGAAGAGGCTGCTCTGAGAGTTACGATTTTAGACAGTTTCATTACCATGTGTCTTGGAAAGAGAGTTGTGGACTGAAACTTGGACTCCAAACGCCTCCCAAGGTTTGGGAAGTTCTCAGCCATCATTTCTTTAAACAAGCTTCCCGCTCTCCCTCCCTCTCTCCTCCTCCCGGGGCTCCAGTGATGTGCAGACTGTCTCTTAACGGTGCCCTGTAAGTCCTGGAGGCTTTTCATCCCCGCCCCCCCCCCCAACCCCGCCCCGCTTTGCTTCTCTGTTTGAATAATTTCCAATGCTATGTCTTCAAGCTCACTGTTTCTTTCTTCCGTTGCTGTTGAAGCTCTGTATTCAATTCTTTGGTTCAGTCGTTGTATTCTTCAGCTCCAAAATGTCTGTTTGGTTCTCTTTTATGTTTTCTATCTCTTTGTTGAACTTCTCGTTTTGTTCTCCTGATTTTGTTGTTCTATCTGTGTTCTCTTGTAGCTCTCTGAGCATTTTTGGAACAATTATTTTGAATTCTTTGTTGGCCAACTCATGTGTCCCCATTGCTCTGGGGAGAGTTACTGGAAGTTTGCCGTGTTCCTTTGATGGTCTCACGATTCCCTGATGCTTTGTGATCCCTGCAGTCTTGCTATTAATAGGTATCTGTGCACTTGAAGCAGCAGCTCTCTTCCAGACTTTACGGGCTGACTTTGGTATAAGGAAAGACCTTCACCTGCAGGCGGGGGCATGCCGGAGTGTGCTGGGATCCCAGGCCTAGTGGTGCGGGGTTCCAAGTGCAGGGTCGGGGGTAGTCTGGGTGGGAGGGATACTGTGCCATTGGCTCAGGCAACTGAGGGTCACAGCATCAACTGTGTGGTTCCTGGCAAGCACTGTGCGGGGCTCTGCAGTGGCTGCAAGGGCTGGTGGGTTCCTCAGTGGTACCTCCAGGTTCAGCTGCTGGGGCACAGGGCAGGAAGCAGTAATGGCCACAGTTGGAGGTGTGCACACACCTGGCTGTGGAGACCAGCTGCAGGTGCCTGTGTAGTGGCAGGGGCTGGTCGCAGACTCACACATAGTGGTGGGGAACAAGGCCAGTTGCAAGGGCTTGGGCCAAGCGTGGGCCCACAGCAGCTGCGGGGGCCCTGGCAGGTGGTGTACTTTCCTAGAGCTGCAGAATCTCCCCACAGGTGTGTACACAACAGCGGAGGCTGGTGACGGGGATCAGCCTGGGGGTGTGCAGGTGCACAGCTGGGAGGGGCTGGCCACACTGTGCACCCGGCAACGGGGGTCAGCCACAGGGGCCTAGGCGGGCATCTTGCACCTATGTAGCTGCAGAGGCCTGGGCTCTGGCGGGGCCAGGGAGAATGGGGAGGGACTCAGGCAGCAGGTGCCCAGGAATGGGAGTACCCACGGGGTGGTAACTACGGAGAGCTGGCGGGCTCCTCTGCGGAGCAGGGCACTAGGAACCATGGTTGTTCCAGCTGCACGGCTGACACTTTGCTTTGCTGGTCTCTAGGTGGGGTGAAACTGAACAGGTCCCTTGTGTGGTGCCCCAAAAGGCTGGGGAAGCTAGTCGCTCACGCCCCCCCCCCCTTTCCTGTGGAGGAGAACTCTGTCTAGCTGGGGAGCTCCCTCTTGGTGCTGAGCAGTGCTGGCCTGGGGGATGGGGTGATGCAGACAAGAGGAAGCTGTTCTTCCCTTTCTGTGTGATTATTTTCAGGGTTTTGTTCCACTGAGCAGCTGTGAAGTGGACTCCTGAGTTCTCCCAGAGCTGTTTTTCTCTGTGGATAGCTAATTGCTGATCTTTGTTGGGAGTCGGGGGATGGAGGCCGGGGTCTCCCTACTTCGCCATCTTGGTGATATCATTTGAAAGTGAGCTCTAGGAGCTACGAAACTCCCTCCCAGACAGGAAGGGGCTGAGTAGGATCAGATAACCACCTTTCGGGAGACTTTGCAAAACAGGCATCTTGCAGTGGGTAGGCTTGATATCCAGGTGCTTTAGAAGGACTTGGGGACACAACTGACTCTGATCGTTTGTCCTTCCCACAAGCACTGGAGTCCTTTCTATTTGCCAGGCCCTAGGCACACAGAAGGCAGCCCTTTCCTAGGGAAGTCTCAGCCCAGTAGAGAAGACAAATAAAGACAATCTACGGACCAACGTGACCGATACCAAAGCAAGGTCAGGACAGCGTAGGACTGGAGCGGTGTGTCTGCACATGTCAGGAGTGGGAGAGGGTTACTGAGGGCTCCCAGCTGCACCCGTCAGGACAAGGGGGCTGCAGCCTGACGGACCTGGACCGCCTGCAGGGTGTGTTACAGGGTGAGGGCAGTGAAACACAGTCCATGCAAAGGCAGAGAGGCGATGAGAAAGCAAGGGGCATTCGGAGAAACACAAGAGTGTCCTATAAAAGCACCATTTTCCCCAGGAAATAGGCATAGCGTGAGGGCATGTGACAGATGTTTATAGCCACAGAAACCAACATGGTGACTTTTCTGGAAAGGAGGATGGTGTGGTGGACTTAGCCCAAATTAATCACAAGTTTTCCTAGTCAATGTAAAATGATTTGACGGCTCCCCACCCAACGTACAGAACTTAGCACTTTACTCTCACACAGAGTTAGGTGGCCCTTAAATATTTAGTGAATATAATTATTTCTATGGCATTTTGGAATGTGACATACTCAGAAATTTAGTGTTTTTCTGAAAATGCTAGCTTTTCTTTAAAATGAAATTTACACATGACATCAAGAAGTTAGAGAAAGGAGCTGTCAGAGCACAGGCTTATCTATTTCTCATCCAGTTCCCGCAGGTGAAGGACAACGTGCTCTAGGATGAAGGAGCATGCTGACATTATTGCAAGCTCGACCCGCTTCATACTTGGTAGCGTAACTTCCGGAGATGCATGGGTCAAGTTCAATACGTCCTTCATGTAGACATGCTGAGGTGATTAAATTAGGTGTGCCTCACATTACTACGGCAGCAAGTGTGATACTGAGAAGGTCTAACAACCAGTCCGGTGAGGGGTCCCACCACTCTGAAGCTGCGCTGGCTGTGGGTGGCAGGCTGGCTGCCCCGTGTCCCTGCTGAAGGTACAACTGTCCCCTGGGCTCGGGGACAGAACTTCCAGTACAATTAGCCACATGTTGGGAAATGACCTCCTGTAATGCTGGATTAAAGATGTGCATCTTGCTTCTTCAATACATGCCAGAAAGACAACTTTATATAATTGCAAGAAAAAGCCATAGCCATTCTTGGCTTGTAACACTATCTTTTATGAAGTTCCCAATGGTATGTTGATTATATAAAACTAAAAAAATATATTCTTGTCAGAGATGCATACTGAACTATTTTTGGGTGAAATGACAGATGTTTTGGGTGTTTCCAAATATTACAGCATAAAAAAAGTGGGGCAAAGGTACAGTAGATAAAACAAGATTGGCATAATGCGGACAATTGTGGAAGCTAGCTGACACAGTGGTTCTATGTGCTATTTTCTCCATACGTGTTTAAGTTCAAACACTCCCATAAGTCCGCTGCTGACCTTGGAGGGTGATGGCCGGCAAATGGCTCCTCTTTCTGAAGCTGGCAGGTTGAGTGTCCTCAGATAAATCCGTCTACAATTCTAAAAGCAACTCCTTAAACAAGTAAATACAATCAGGAAGCGACCAAGCAACAACTGGGATAAACTCAGATTGTCTGTAGGTGCACAGGTAGACTGATTAGTAAAGAGAAATCACTTTACAACTAGCACAAAAAGTTATTTTAAACTTTACGGGTGTTTTAAAGTCCCTCTAATTTTCCCCTCCAAAAAAAGCAAAAAAAAAGGACAAATTTGACAGAAAATAAAGAACCATCTACTGTGTCATGGTATGAATTACAGATTATTTAAATTACTAATTTTAGCACTTTTTTCACTCTGAATGATACTGATCTGCTAGGAATCAATGTTCTTAAAGATTTCAAAAACTCTTGCATAAGTCACAAGTAATATGTTTTCAAAAAACCGTTATAGTTTCCCAAATTGTGATGTTTTCATTTTCACTTAAATGCTGGACTGTGAAAGAATAAATTATAATCCCAAGTCCAGATGGAGTGTAGAATCTTTTTCCAGGAAGACTGAGAAAATGCTTTTCTAGATATGTAAATTAAGAGCATCCTGAAAACTTAGTAAGTCGTGGGAAATACATACATAACGTTTGTAACTAGATATATTTGGTCTTTATCTCTGGTTCCCGACACAAAGCTCCTAAAACCCTTAGAATTTCCTGAGTTTTAGGGGTCCCTTGTGAGCAGAGTTTATGCTAATGAACTGACTTCAGGTGTGTCCCCTAGAGAGTCTCAGTGTGGGGCTGGTCACCAGAAAGATCGAAGGAACTTTTAGCTCCACCCACTGGCCTCAGGGAAGGGGGATGCTGGAGATTAAGCTCTAGAAAAATTCTTGAACAGCAGGATTTGAGGAGCTTCTGAGCTTCCGGGTTGGTGAATAGGAAGACATCCATGTGCCGCGAGGGTGGCGCACCCCAAACTCCACGGGGACAGAAGCTCCTGTGCCCGGTACCCTTCCAGACCTGGCCCTATGTATCTCCCCGTCTGCCGTTCATTTGTATCCTTTAACATCCTTTGCAATAAACCAGTAATCTCGTAAGGAAACCGTTTCTCTCAGTCCTGTGAGCTGCTCTAGAAGTTAATCAAACCCGAGGAGGGGGTCGTGGGAACCTCAGACTTAGTGCTGACTTAACCTTAGCACTTAACCTGTGCTCATAGGTGAGAAGCACAGGTAACAACCTGGACGGGTGACTGACATCTGCAGTGTGTGTCTGGGGGCGGGTGGTGGTAGTGGTGGTGATGCCTACTCAGCCCTTAACCTATGGAATCTGATGCCATCTCCGTGTAGACAGGGTCAGAACAGAACCCATCTGGTGTGTGAAGAATCAGAGGATTGGTTGGTGGTGTTGGAAAACACTCCACGGACCAAATACCACATCTTCTCCCCTCTTCATTTTTCCTAAAGGCCTTTATTAAGAACCACCATGGTTTGGTTCTCCAGCAACTTTTATTGGTCAAGGGATGTGGAATTATATGCAGTACCTGGGGTTTAATTAACAGGCTCACTTATAAATCAACTTAACATTTATCTTATTTAAAAAAAATTTTTGCTTTTGAATAAACTGATGTGGTCAAACAGACATGCTCCTACCCCATGCAAAAAGCTGTCCCAAAACGAGCAGCTTGCAAACCCACTGTAAATGAGATACTGAATGAAACATTCTTCTAGCGAGGTCCAAGAAGCAGCTCAGTCTGAGAATTTGCTTCATATCCTGACTTTTCAAAATCAAATATTCGAGACATAAAAGAAGCAAAATTAAAGTACGTAAAACAGCTATATCCTGATATTTTTATCCAAGTCACTTCCCAGAGTTTGTAGTGCTGCTGTGCTCTGTTGGTTAAAACAAAACAACAAAAGCAGTAGGCAGCTTCCAACTTAAAGGTAATGAAATTTACCAGTTTGCAGCTAAAAGTCACAGTGGAAGAACACATGTAAGGTGAAGAATGCTTTTAAACCTTTCAGCTTTAAGTAGTGCTGTATTTTAACTTTAAAGAGAAGTTCTATTATATATTTTTTGCATAAACATTTTAAAATATTAGAACAAGTCTTTGTAATACAATATATATTAGACTTCAATATAACTCATGTGAATTAAAAACATGTTAACTTGATAACTGTCATAAGGCAAAAGTTGTACAGAAACTTCTTAGTGGTGTCCCTTTAAAATTAACTTGATTTAGTGGGTTGCCTTAAAATGAACACAAAACAACAAAAGACTAAAAAAGAGGCAGTGATGCTCTGATACTGAATCCCAGAAAAAGCACAGTAGCAAACGATGTGTTTTCTAACAGGGAGACCAGGTGGTTCAGCAAACTGGGACCAGGTGAGCAGCCCCTGGTACATGGTTCATCTATTGCACTGACCAGATGCTGAGAGTAGATCGCTTGCCTAGGAAGTTTGGTTAAAGGTACCAGCATCTTTAGTACTAATCACAGTGCCTGTGACAGAGCAGGTGCTCAGCTCTACTTCCTGAACTGGTCTGATGAAGATACTTTAAAATCAACAGGGTGCTGGACAGTGTAAAGTTCATGGAAAAACTCCATTTTTCATTTTGTTTTGGTATGTGAGTAACTACTGATCTAGTATTTCGAGTGTGGCTCACATAACACCTTTGGACTGTGGTAAATGGAATTAACTAAGCACTGCATTGGCGATCAATGCCAGTGTCTCTGAATATCAGGTCATAAACATAACCAACTGTGCAATATAACCGACGCGATGATCAAAGCACACCTCACAATGAACAGATTTTAGTTCAGACGATTAAAAAAAAATGAAGTATTAGACTGCATTTAGTGCAACACTCTATTGATCATACCATACATCAGATACCATGCTGTGGAGACGTACTGGAGTAGCTTATATACAGTACACAGCCAGGATTCAAACTGGGGTGAGAGGGCGAATACGGAACAGAACATTTTTACATATATGTGTACATTTAATGGTCTTGTTCACTGAACTGGATTTATTATACGTTTGCTGTGCCACATCTACTAGCTTGCATAACAACCCAAATTATTTTTTTTGCACAAAGATCTACTTCCATTTAAAGTAGAAAAAGATGGTGGTTAAAAAAAAAAACTTCTTCAAGCTCCAACAATTGTGTCCCAAATACCACTGTATGAACACCTAAAAAATATTAAGAACAATTTAGAAATATGCATAACTAAAAATGTACAAACAAACATCGATTAAAGTCACAAAGGGAACTAGTGAATGAATACTTCCAATTTTTATTTAAACTTACCTAGGCATATTAGATAATGTTGACTATACATAAAAAAGAGGAAGCTTTAGAAAGTTAAAATCTCTACTTGCGAATTTTATAAATGAGCCGTAGCTACAGGCACATTCATTTAGACTTCAATGAACCCAGGAAAAGACTCGTCACTGACATAAAGGGAGAAGAACCTCTAACTCAATCACTCCCATCAACTTTCCTTTCTGAGCAAGTGCATTAAGGATTTCCTACAAATTCTTTCAAGCAGAGAATCTAATTTTTTATTTTAATTGGTAAGGCTGGGTTTAATCTAGCATTTTGCTATTTGTTTTATATTTTCCCCATCTGTTCTTTACTTCCTTTTTTCCTCTTTTCCTGCCTTCTTTTGGATTTATTTAATTATGTATTTATTCCATTTTAATCCCCATGTTGGCTTATTAGCCAAAACTCTTCATTGTGTTGTTTCAGTGCTTTAGGATTTTTTTCTTGAGATTTTATTTTTTTAGAGCAGTTTTAGCTTCGAAGCAAAATTGAGGCGGGAAAAGTATGTAGAGTTCCCAAAGACCACCTGCCTTCACACATACACAGCCTCCCCCATTATCAACGTCCCCATCAGATGGTACATTTGTTACAGCTGATGAGCCTACACTGACAATTCATAACCACCCCAAATCCATAGTTAAATTACAGTTCACTCTTGGTGTTCTATGTTCTAGGGGTTTGGACAGATACATGAAGACGCGGATCCAACACATGGTATCATACAGTCTTTCCACTCTCCCCAAATCCTCTGTGCTCTGCCTATTCATCCCTCCCATGCCCAGCCCCTGATCCTTCCCGTCTCCATAGTTTTGCCTTTTCCAGGATGTCACATAGTTGGAATCATGCAGTATGTAGCCGTTTCAGATTGGCTTCTTTTTTTTTTTTTTGGCCGCACCGCATGGCATGTGGGATCTTAGTTCCCTGACCAAGGCTTGAACCTGTGCCCCCTGCATTGGAAGCGCGGAGTCTTAACCACTGCACCTCCAGGAAAATCCCCAGATTGGCTTCTTCCACTTAGTTATATGCCTTGAAGGCTTGACAGCTCATTTCTTTTTAGTGCTGAATAATATTCCATTGTCTGGATAGACCGCAGTTTACCCATTTGCCTTCCGAAGGACATCCTGTTTGCTTGCAAGCTTTGGCAATTATGAATAATGCTGCTATAAACATCCATGTGCAGGTTTTTGTGTGGACATAAGTTTTCAACTCCTTTGGGTTCATAGCAAGGAGTGAGACTGCTGGATCATACAGTAAGAGTATGTTTAGTTTCATTCATCTATCTACCTACCTACCTATCTACCTACCTACCTAATGGTTTTACCCGTGTTATACGACTGACAGTTTAAACATTGATTATAAACATGTCTTGCTAATTTATTTATTTATTTTTAAGCATTACTCTTTTTTTTTAATTTTTATTTTTGGCTGCGCTGGGTCTTTGTTGCAGTATGCGGGCTTCTCATTGCGGTGGCTTCTCTTGTTGCGGAGCACGGGCTCTAGCAGAACGGGCTTCAGTAGTGTAGCATTCGGGCTCAGTAGTTGTGGCACATGGGCTTAGTTGCTCCGCGGCATGTGGGATCTTCCTAGACCAGGGATCGAACCCGTGTCCCCTGCATTGGCAGGTGGATTCTTAAGCACTGCGCCACCAGGGAAGTCCTAAGGTTAGTTTTATAAGAAAATGCCAAGCTGTCTTCTAAAGTGGCTGCACCATTTTGCATTCCCACCAACAATGAACAAGAATTCCTATTGTTCTACATCCTCACCAGCATTTGGTGCTGTCCGGGTCTTGGACTGTGGCCATTCTAATAGGCTTGTAGTGATATCTCACTGTTTTACTTTGCTTTCTCCTTGATGGTATATGATATGGAGTATGTTTTCCTGTACTTATTGCCATCTGGGTATCTTCTTTGGTGAGGTGTCTGTTAAGGTCTTTGGCCCGTTTTTAAATTGGGTTGTTTGTTTTCTTACTGTTGTGTTTTAAGAGGTCTTTGTGTATTTAGGATTAACAGTCCTTTATCAGGTGTGTGTTTCACAAATATTTTCTCCTGGTCTATAGCTTGTCTACTAATTCTCTTGACATTGTCTTTTGCAGAGCAGAAGTTTTTATTTTTCATGAAGTCCAGCTTACCAATTATTTCTTTCATGGATTGTGCCTTTAGTGCTGTGTCTAAAAAGTCATCACCACACCCTAGGTCATCTACATTTTCTTTTATCTTCTAGGAGTTTTATAGTTTTGCATTTTACATTTAGGTCTGCGATCCATTTGGAGTTAATTTTTGTGAAGGGTACAAGGTCTGGTATGTAGATTCATTTTTTTGCACGGATGTCCAGTTGTTCTAGCACCATTTGTTGAAAAGACTATTTCTGCTCCATTGTATTGCCTTGGCTCCTTTATCAAACGTCGGTATGTGGGTGTATTTCTGGGCTCTCTATTCTGTTCCATTGATCTACTTGTCTGTTATTTCACCAATACCATACTGTCTTGACTACTGTGGCTTTATAGTGTTTTGGAGTTGGGTAGTAACAGTCCTTCAACTTTGTTCTTCTCCCTCAATACTGTGTTGGCTATTATGGGTCTTTTGTCTCCTCTCCACATAAACTTCAGAATCAGTTTGGTTTTCCTCATATAGATGTTGTTAGAGTTCTACCTATTTCCTTTTTGGGGGGATGCTAATGTGAAGGGTATTGTGTTTTTCATTTCGAATTGCACTTGTTCATTGCTGGCACAGAGAAAAGTGATGGACTTTTGTATATTAACCTTGTATCTTGCAACTGTGCTATATAATCATTTATATAGAGTTTGTGGACTTTTTGGATTTTCTACACAGATTATCATCAGCCAACACAGTTAGTTCATTTCTCCCTTCCCAGTCTGTGTACCTTTTATTTCCTTTTCTTATTGCATTAGCTAGGACTTCCAGTACGATGGTGAGAGGGGACCTCCTTGCCTTGATATTAATAGGAAAGCTTCAACTTTCTCACCATTAAGCAGGATGTTAGCAGTAGGTTTTAGGTAGATTTTCTTTATTAAGTTGAGGAGATTCCCCTCTATTCCTACTTTACTGAGAGCTTTCATTGTGAATGGATATTGGATTTTGTCAAATGATTTTTCTGCATCTCTTGATGAAATCATGTGATTTTTGTTCCCTGTTGATATGACGATTACATTAATTGATTTTGGAATGTTGAACCAGCCCTGCATACCTGGGATAAACCCCACTTGGAAGGATGTAATTCTTTGTATGCATTGTTGGATTCAATCTAACATTTTGTTGAGAATTTTTGCATCTATGTTCACAGGAGATACTAGTGTGTAGTTTTCTTTTCTTGTAATGTCTTTGTCTGGTTTTGGAATTAGGGTAATGCTGGCCTCATAGAATGAGTTAGGAAGTGTTCTGTCTGCTTTTGTTCTGTGAAAGAGGCTGAAGAGAATTGGTATAGTTTCTTCCTTAAATGTTTGGTGGAGTTCACCAGTGAACCCGTGTGGGCCTGGTGCTTTGTGTTTTGGAAGATTATTAATTATTGGTTCAATTTCTTTAATAGATATAGGCCTATTCAGATTGTGTATTTGTTCTTGTATAAGTTTTGGCAAATTGTGTCTTTGATAGAATTGGTTTATTTCATGCAGGTTATCAAATTTGTGGGCATAGAGTTGTTCATAGCATTCCTTTATTATCCTTTTAATGTCCATAGAATCTGCAGTGATGCCCCCTCTTTCATTTCTGATATTAGTAATTTTATTATATAATTTTATTTTATTTTTTTTCCCTTAGCCCGGCTAGAGTCACTGATTTTACTGGTCTTTTTCAAGGAGCCGGCTTTGGCTTCGTTGATTTTTCTCTATTGATCTCCTGCTCTAATTTTATTACTCCTTTTCTTCTGCCTACTCTGGCTTTAATTTGCTCTTCTTTTTCTCATTTTCTATGGTGGACACTTATATGATGGTACTTAGACCTTTCTTCTTTTCTAGCACATGCACTCAATGCTATAAATTTCACTCTAAGTACTGTTTGTGTTGAATCTTCCCAAATTTTGATAAGTTGTGTTTTTTCATTTAGTTCAAAATATTCTTACATTTCCCTTGAGACTGCTTCTTTCACTCATGTGTTATTTAGAAGTATGCTGTTTAATCCCCACGCGTTTTGGATTTTCCAGTTAGCTTTCTGTTACTGATTTCTAGTTTAATTCCACTGTGGTCTGAGAGCAGACACTGGATGATTTCTATTCTTTTAAATGTGTTCAGGTGTGTTTTATGGCCCAGGATGTGGTCTGTCTTGGTGAGTGTTCCGTGTGAGCTTGAGAAGAAAGTGTGAGCAGAGATTCTCACGGCTGAGAATCTCTAACTTTTAATTATGCAATCACCTCTCCTTTTCATAACGCGGCTGCAAAAGGCAGTGACGGCCTCCACCTCTAAGCCTGTGCGGGGCTGTGGGTAGCAAACAGAGGGCGAGGCCGAAGGCGGCAGGGCGGCCACGACGCAGGCACCTACCTGTGCACCCTGCTGCTTCAGCAGCCACACTCCTGTGCGCTCGGGGCCTGTGCGCGGCGTGGAGACCGCAGCTGTCTCAAGGCCGCATCTCCATACTGAATACCTGAGCCCATTCTTTCTGGGTCCAGCTCACCTGAGGACCAAGCAAGTCTTTAGAAAAAGTTTTCATGTTTCTGTGATCCCCACAATACATTAAGTGAAAAAAGCAAAGTGCAGAACACTGTGTATATACAACACAATTTTGAATACAGAGGAAAAGTACACACGTTTGCTTGTATGGGCGTAAAAACCTCTTTGGACGGATACATAAAGAACTGGTAATAATGGCTGACCTCAAGAAAGAGCTCTAGACAGCTAGGGGACAGGAGACGGGGTAACAGAGGGTGACACACTCTATCCTCTTCTGCACTTTCTGGATTTGGAATTATGTGAATATATTACGTATACAAAGATTTAATTTAAAATTAAACCACGAATTAAAAAAGATACCATTTTTCACTTATGAGACTGGTAAAAACCCACGTATGATAGTACACCCTGTGGGTGTGGCTTTAGTGAAATAAACACCTTCATTCACTACTAGTGGGATGATAAACTGCTACAACCCCGATGGAGGAATCTGACAGCTTCTACCTAACTTCCAAATGCTTGTGTTCTTTAACACAGCAAATCCACTTCTGGGAATTTATCCTATACATACACTCACACACATGTGAAATGATATACAAACGGTTATTTACTGCAACATTTTTTGTTACAGCAAAATACTGGCAACAACTCAAATGTCCAAAGTAGACTGGTTAAATAGATTATGGCAATACACAAAATTGAACACTACGTACACACACACATGATGTGTGCACATGTACATTAGCATCTATATATGGATATGGAAGTCTCTAAATACTGATTTGTCATCACTGGTAGGCAGAGTAAGTGCAGAGTTCATAGTATGCTAACTTTTGTATAAAAAGGAGGGGAGAAAATAATGGTTTTTGAACCATATGAATGTACTGCCTCTTTAGAAAACTAAAATTAAAAAGTACTGCTGAAATGGATAAATAACAAGGTCCTACTGTAGAGCACAAGGAACTATATTCAATATCCTGTGACAAACCATAATGGAAAAGAATATGAAAAAAATATATATATGTATAACTAACTGAATCACTTTGCCGTACAACAGAAATTAACACAACATTGTAAATCAACTATACGTCAATAAAATCTAAAAAAAAAAAAAGTACTGCTGAAGAGTTTTAACATGTCCTTGTAGTTTTCCATCTGATGTAACTATGATTTGGATGATCTCAGAAGAAACAGATCCTGAAAGCTTTATATGAATGAACTCACACACACTGTATTCATGGGTGGACACCAAAGGGGGAGGTAAGCTAAAGAAAAGCTCGTGTTGAGCTTGCTAATACTCAACATCACACCAATTTTCATGACAACTACTGATGCTCTAGTCTTTAAAAATAACAGTTCTGTACCAGCTTGAATAACTTTGCTGCTGTTTTCAGGTCAAAAGACCACACAAGGATGAAGCGGCCCTGTTCCTGCTGAGCCCAGCCCGCCATCTGGGACCCTGGCGCTCTCCCACTACCTCGCCCGCCCCTACCTTCTCCGTCCGCTCCCCTCCCGCCTTCTCTCCTTTCCGTTCCTCTCTCTCCTCTCGCATCATTTACTGAAACCTCTCGTTAAATTAACCCTCCTCCGGGGAGGCGCCAGGCTCTGCTTCCTCACCCCCTCTTGGCGCTCCGCTGCCCCCTGTCTTCTCCTTGTCATTCTGCTGGTAAAGATGGCTGGTGACTTCCTACTGCCCGCCCCACCGGACACTTTTCAGCTCACGTCTTGGCTTATGAGACTTTCCTCTGATGCATCTGATAATGAACAACCCTTTGGCTGAAGCTCGGCTAAAGTGATACCCACGTTCCCGGATCTCTTCATATACCTTCACATACCTATGACTTCCCCCTCCTCTCTCTCATCCTCCGGCCTCCAGGGCTTCGCTCTGGGCCACTGCCCTTCCCACTCTCCACTGATCGCTGCGTGGTCTCGCTCCTTCCAGAGCTGCCACTACTCCTACAGACTGATGGTTCCCAAGCAGACTCCGCCAGCCAGGAATTCTCCCCACAGCCTCCTGCATGCCTCCTCGCGTTTGTTCCAGCGACGCTGCCCAGGGAACACTCCAAAACAGAAGCATCTGGATTCCCTTGAACCGGCTTGCCCTCTGGCTCTGCCATGACCCTCTGGGTCCCCGAGTTACCCAGGTGTGACACCTAGTTGCCCTCAACCCCTCCTCCCTTCCTGACCCCACCTCTCAGTCCCCTCCCCAGAGGCAAGGGCCCCGCCCTGCTAGTTAGCATCTGAGTCAGGACGCCACTGCCAAAGCGTTTCTTGGATTCATCTACGTCTCTTCATCTCCGCTTCCACACCCTTGATAAAGATTTAATCAGGCATCTTTTTTCGGATAACTCAAAGATGCCTTTGTTGCTATCCTGGCCATCGGCCCTGGGCTCCCTCCAGCATGTCCCTGATGTGACCACCCACACACACGATCTGCCTCCAGCCACAATCTGACCACATCATTCACGGCCCCCGCCCCTGAATGGCCACTTACCCCTACCGCAGTGCTCAGTCGTGGACAAACATCAGAATTAATCACACGAGAGAGCTTTTTAAAATCTGATGCTGAGGGCCTAATTCAGCATCTCTAGAGGCGGGTCTTGGAATTCAAACTTTTATGCATCCCAGGAGGCTCTAGCATACAGGCAGGGTGGAGACTCGGTCACCCTTTACAGGGTAAAGTTCTAGGTCCCGGATCACGATCCCTGGCCTGGCTGCTGCCTCTCCTCAGCCTTCTCTCCTGCCATTCCCCGCTGTGGTCCGTCTGTTCTAGAAACTTCAACTTCTCCCCCAGTGTCCACTCGCGCTGTCCCTGCTGGCCTCCCCTCCTCACACTTGACAGCCTGAGCTCGGCTGCCACCTCCTCCTGGAAGCCTTTCCTGATATCACCTCCTAAGCAGGTAGGTTCTCCTTCTTCGTGTGCCCCAAGATCCTGTGCGCTTCTCAGTTACTGTATCGACCACACCGTATTATAATTATCTTTTGACTGCTTCCCATGAAAGAGTTTCTTGAGGGCAAGGGCTGTGATTAATTTATTTCTGTATCCCAGCACCTGACAAAGAACAGGCATTCATATATTTGAATGAATCAATTAAAAACTGAATGTCCACATATAATTGAGGTGATACTTAATAGAAAGTAACTCTAATAAATGACAACTACATATTACTTTGTCAGCTGCCTAAATTAGGGGTATTGTAAATTTATTTTTACTGAAGCAGCAAACAGAACAATGATGAGACAGGTTACTACTGAGGCACGCTCAGTGAGCTTCGGGAGTAAATTCTCCCCGACGCCTGATCTAAACCAGCGGCACCCCGCGAGGTGCCCATAGATCACGTCAATCCACCACACACGACCGCTGGCCCAGCAGAGCCCGAGGTGCTGACGGAGCGCGGACAAAGGTCCATTCTTCCTGAAGGGATGGCTCCAACAAAGGCTGTGGTGCTGAAAGCAAACGCGCCCTGACACCCTGACTCTGTCCCTTCCGTCACTGGGGCCAAGGAGGCCGCCGTGAAGGAGGCGTGGGCTCCCACCTCAGCCGCGGACAAGACCTTCAAGCCCGTGAGTGGTGACTGCAGGTCGGCAGGGGGAGAGGCCACTCTGACCAAAGCACTCCTGGAAGTACTGAAAAGCGACACTGCTGAGCCAGAGAGGAAACGGCGCTAGGGGAAGTTTGTTAATGGAAAGCCTTTTACCTGATTCAATTTTGTTAAGTGTCTTTCTCGCACACTGTACGAAGGCCTCTTCCACGTTCTCCCCGGTCAGTGCACTCGTCTCCAGAAACATCAGCTCTAAAATCGACATCAAACAAAACACGAAGCCATATTTAGAAGACAATCACGATTATTCGATGCATAACTGCCAGCGTACTACACTCTTAGAATAATAGACGGAACAAATTTAGTACTTAGAACCAGGTATTTCTGCAAATATGAAATCAATAAATGTCAAAATATTTTTTTAAATATTAGAAGAAATCTAACTTTTCCCGAAAAGTAACTAGTATTTTGTGCTAGCAATGAAATGTGTTGAAGAAACTGAGCAAGCAGGACGCTGGTAAGGAAGCAGGCTGGCTGAAGGCACCCGGCCGTTGATATAAGACAAAGTAGCAACTGCCTTTCCAATAGTCTCCACGTCACCACAGATACAACCTACAAGTGCTGACAGCTGGTGTGCCGCCCTGACAGTGAGGGGATCTTCCACGAACGAGCCCTCTTCTTATGCACCAGCTGGTGACTCATGCAGCAGAAGGCTGCTCTCCTTGCTTTTGGGAGCAAACCACAACCTCTCCAGACCCTTGTCTCCTTCCTTGTAAAAATGAGTTTCACTTAAATGACAGATAAATTCCTTTCGACCTTTAACATTCTAAGTGTGCATGTTTCTAAACAGCTTCTTTACAAACTCATGAAGGCTTCTGTTTATTTTCCTAGCAGAAACCCTGCTCGTTTGTGAGAGTGTAAGTGGGTGGTCCTGGAGTCCAACTGAAAGGTGATAGTAGGATATTTTAGTTGTTGATTGCTTCCAAAAATTAAAGTTATTTTAAAATGCCTGAATTCTTTTTTTTTTAAACCTAAGCTATGTTTTTCTAAGTATCTTTTTTCTTTTTTTGTGAGATGTGTTTTTTTTTTTACATCTTTATTGGAGTATAATTGCTTTACAATGGTGTGTTAGTTTCTGCTTTATAACAAAGTGAATCAGTTATACATATACATATGTTCCCATATCCCCTCCCTCTTGCGTCTCCCTCCCTCCCACCCTCCCTATCTCACCCCTCTAGGTCACAAAGCACCAAGCTGATCTCCCTGTGCTTTGCGGCTGCTTCCCACTAGCTATCTATTTTACGTTTGGTAGTGTATATATGTCCATACCACTCTCTCACTTTGTCCCAGCTTACCCTTCCCCCTCCCCATATCCTCAAGTCCATTCTCTAGTAGGTCTGCATCTTTATTCCCGTCTTACCCCTAGGTTCTTCATGACATTTTTTTTCTTAAATTCCATATATATGTGTTAGCATACGGTATTTGTCTTTCTCTTTCTGACTTAACTCTGTATGACAGACTCTAGGTCCATCCACCTCATTACAAATAGCTCAATTTCATTTCTTTTTATGGCTGAGTAATATTCCATTGTATATATGTGTCACATCATCTTTATCCATTCATCCGATGATGGACACTTAGGTTGTTTCCATGTCCTGGCTATTGTAAATAGAGCTGCAATGAACATTTTGGTACATGACTCTTTTTGAATTATGGTTTTTCTCAGGGTATATGCCTAGTAGTGAATTCTCATTCAGCCGTCTATAAGCAACCATTAATTTTACGTGTCATCCTTATGTATTCTATACGGAAATTCAGAGAAGTTTCAAAGGCATCTTTAGCCAAATGACTTAAATTTTTTTTTTTTAATTTATTTATTTATTTATTTTTGGCTGCATTGGGTCTTCGTTTCTGTGTGAGGGCTTTCTCCAGTTGCGGCGAGCGGGGGCCACTCTTCATCGCGGTGTGCGGGCCTCTCACTATCGCGGCCTCTCTTGTTGTGGAGCACAGGCTCCGGATGCGCAGGCTCAGTAATTATGGCTCACGGGCCCAGTTGCTCCGCGGCATGTGGGATCTTCCCAGACCAGGGCTCGAACCCGTGTCCCCTGCATTGGCAGGCAGACTCTCAACGACTGCGCCACCAGGAAAGCCCAAAATGACTTAAATTTAATGTAAGTGAAATACAGCCAATTAGTCCAGTATGTCTTCTACTGCTTCCCTTTCTATTTACGTCTAATATTTCACTAACTTAGCTTCAAATTCCATTTTATAAAAGATGACATCATCTGATTAGGGCCTTTAAAGATTGTTATAAATTTCACTTTAAACCAAGACCTGTGATATCAAAGATCCTAGACTGAAAAGTCACCACAGAATGCTAAGAGATTAGCTTTTAGCATCGCAGTAACCTCTTTTTTTTTTTTTGGCCACACCACGCGGCACGCGGGATCTTAGTTCCCTGACCGGGGATGGAACCTGCGCTCCCTACAGTGGGAGCACAGAGTCTGAACCGCTGGACCACCAGGGAAGTCCCTCATCATAGTGACCTTCGTGGGCAGAATGCAATAGGGTGAGACTATGTTAAATGCGTCTAATGCACAGTGAAAACAACAGGAGGTTCCACACTTCCTAACTACGGCTGCGTCTTAAACCTCCAGCAGGTGTGACAGGTGCAAGGCCACTTGCCATTTTCCTGAGCAAACCGGGAGGCTTCTAGGAAAGTGACTTCCCGATCGGGGTCCAGGTCCTTCTTGTTCCCACAGAGGATGATGACGATGCTCTGACTCGCGAGCATTCTGGCATCTGTTAACCAATTAGTAAGCGCATTGTAGGTTTCTCGGCTGCGTAATATAAGATTGTGAAAATAGCACATGTATTTTATAAAGCTAGCAACTCTTTCCAGTCACTCACACCACGCACAGCGCTTCTACACACGCAGGGCAACGCCCACAACCTTTAGGGTGACTCAGATGACCTGGATGCCCCAGGTGTACACCACACCAACAGGGTGCATTTCATCTTGTTTCCATGAAAACGAGGCAACAAGTCAGAAGCTTGCTGTCTGTCGTCTGCCCAAGCAGGGTCAGTATTTACTGGGCTCTCGGTTCATGCAACATGCGAGCAGGACCTAAGGCTAACTGCTGCCACTCAGTGGATCCGTGTGATGTGCTGGTACTTCGCTTCACACGAATTTAACACACTGATTCTCTGTAAGGACTCTGTGACACAGAGTCTTATTATCTCCTGTTTCCACAAGAAACCTGAGGCCCAGAGAGACTAAGTTGCCCAAAGTCACACAAGCAGCCAGTGGCAGAGCCAGGACTGGGTCAGGTGCATCCACCTTCAGGACTGTTTTCAGCCCTCATCTATCTAAGGATAAAACCCTCGTATATTCTAAGGACTGACCGAGGAACTGAATTTTAAATTTAATTGTGATACCTGGGTGATAGCTACATGCACGACAGTGCACTCAGATCCTTACGATGGGCCAAGAGCTCTATGTGAACCAAATCAACCGCCCAACAACCTCCCAAGTATTACGTGGTCATTACTCCATGGAACAGACAAGGAAACTAAAGTCCAGACAGCGGAGCACCTCGCCGGAGGACTCACACCGCTGGTGATGGCAAGTGGGCTTTGAACCCAGGCCGTCCCAGCCTAGAGCCTGTGCTTGATGGAGGTCCGTTACTTCTAATAATTTACCACACGCAAAGCTTCACTTTGCAAACCTTAAGGAAAGCATCAAAACACCATGTTAAGAAACATAATGACACTGGGGGTGCTTATCTATCTGAAGCTTGGGAACATGCTGCTTTACATGGTAAAGTGGTGGAAGGGGCTGCTTCGAAAACGCCCAAGACCCCCAGGGAAAGGGCTGAGGGGCTTCCCGCCCCACAGCCCTGCCACCGACGTGCCCAGCACACCCGCGGGGAGGCTCGGACCTCGGGGAGCACAGGCCGGCGAGGGGTGTCATTACCTGGTGATGTCATAGACGAGCAGCGCCCCTGCCGCACCCCTGTAGTAGCTTCTCGTCACAGACCTGGAAGAGTTACAGGCTTTCACTTTCCACCACGCAGAGCCCGTACCCCTGGGCACCATCTTCCCACACAAAACACCCATTTTTGCCTTGGAAACCACAACATAGGGACGGAGGTGGCTTTAAAGAGAAATGATTCAAAGTTATCTGAACATGGGCCTGAAGGGCTGTCCTGCCTGAAATCGTATCACAGGAGCGACAGGGAGGCGGGACGTGAGGCTGGGATGAGGGTCATCCTCCCTGGAGGGCATGAGGCTGCCCCGCACAACTGAGGGTGCCTTTGAGAACGTCGGGGGAGGGGCAGGAAGGGGGCATCACAGAGTCCCAGGGCACGAAGCCCTCGGCAGCCCCTCTGCTTGCCCGGGGTCCGTGCCTTCCTGTGGACGAGGGGCCGCGCGTGGCTGCGCTTCCCACGCCCGGCCGCGCGGCCTCACCTGTCTTCAGCGAGCCCCCACCCGAGCGCATCTCGCCCGTTCCCACAAGCTCCAGGATTTCTCCTGCAGTAACACACCTTCTCCCCTGCATCTCGACTCTCTCCCCGCGCGAAGACTTCCCCACTCACAGAATACAATGGGCTCCGGCACCTCCCATCTTGGACGAGAGCCAGGCAGGCGGTCCCGCTGCCGTCCCATCGTGGGCCCCTCGCGCACCCACACATCTCAGGGGCTGCTTCGCCAGCACCGCCTCCTCCTGCCCCGTGGACCCCGCGGCACCTGCCCTCCCCTGCTGCCTGGACCCCTCCCCCCGCCCCCAGGTCGCAGCCCCACTCCCTCCCAGTCTCCTCTCACACCAGCTACTCCAGACCGTTCCTCTGAATCTGCCCTGCTGGTCCTGGAGCTCCTTCCCCCAGGCTGGGTCCTGGGATCTCCCTTTTTTTTACATCTTTATTGGAGTATAATCGCTTTACAATGGTGTGTTAGTTTCTGCTTTATAACAAAGTGAATCAGCTATACATATACATATGTCCCCATATCCCCTCCCTCTTGCGTCTCCCTCCCTGCCACCCTCCCTATCCCACCCCTCTAGGTGGTCGCAAAGCACCGAGCTGATCTCCCTGTGCTATGCGGCTGCTTCCCACTAGCTGTTTTACGTTGGGTAGTGGATATGTCCATGCCACTCTCTTTTCTCCCAACGCTCTCAACTCCGGTTTAATCCTCAGCTCAGCCTACTTCCGTAAGAGCCATCCGCCAGCCCGGCAACTCTCCGTGTGACCACAATGCACGCGTCACAGTCAACATCTCAGGCAGAACTCTGGCTCCCGGCCTACAGGCCCCTCCGGGAGGCGGCCCCACCACCCACTCTGTTTACACAGCCAGGAATCTCTCCACCCACTCTGTGCCCATCACAAAGTGATGTGACGCAACGTGTCCCACAGTGGACACATCTGTCAGGACCCGTCTCACCAACTGGTCAGGTCCTACACCGTGCACGTCTCTACACCTTCACCAGCACCGTCCTGATCCGAACCACCAGCTCTGCCTGGAGCCCTGCCACGCGCGTCCCCTCTGTCACCTGTGGCCCTCAGCCCCTCCTCCAGGTCTTCCTCGAGGCCTGCAAGGCCCTGGTGCTCAGGGACCGGGGCTCAAGTTCAACCCCCAATGGTCAGTGATCGAATCGATCGTGCCTACGGACTGGAACCTCCCTAAGGACCCCTAAGAAATGGGGCTCAGACAGCTCCCGCCACCTCCCTGTTCCCCAGGCTGGGGTCTTCCTCTCTTGGTTCCTCCCTTGTGCTGGTGAAGCATATCCTCCTGAAGTTTCTAAGGGAGAACATATGAAAGACCACCTTTGTTTCCCTCCATTCTTGTATAACTGAAGGTATTTCTGATTTTATTCTCACACTTAATGGAGAGTTTGGCTGAGTTCATAATTTTAGGTTGGAAAAAATTTTTCACGTTGAGTTTTGAAGGCAAGGCTTTAGTTATCTTCTAGCTTCCAAGCGTTGCTGCTGAAGAGTCCAGCGCAATTCTCATTTTCGATTCTTGATATGTGATTTGCTCTTCCCTCTTGGAATCTTTTGGCATCTTCACTTCATCCCTGGTGTTGTGAACTTTTACGTGGCAGACCTGGTCTGAATTTTTCCCCCCTCATCTGTGTTTGGTGTACGGTGGAATCTTACAGAGTCTCATTCCTCTAGTGGAAAATGTTCTTCGATTGTTTCTTTTACTGTTTCTTCTGCTCTTCTGTCTTCGGGAAGGCTTAACTGGTAAGGCCTTGAGCTTCCTAGACTGACTCTGTATGATTTCTTATGTTGTCTTTTTTTTTTTTTTGTGGTACACGGGCCTCTCCCTGTTGTGGCCTCTCCCGTTGCGGAGCACAGGCTCCGGACGCGCAGGCTCAGCGGCCATGGCTCAGGGGCCCAGCCACTCCGTGGCATGTGGGATCTTCCCGGACCGGGGCACGAACCCGTGTCCCCTGCATCGGCAGGCGGACTCTCAACCACTGAGCCACCAGGGAAGCCCTTATGCTGTCTCTTCCCTTTCTCATCTCAAGTTTACCGTTTCACTTTCTGGAAGGGCACTACTTTATTTTATTATTATATATATAATAATAAATATAATAAATAAATATATTATAATATATTTATATTTATAAATAATAATAAATAAATATAATATATTATTTTAATTTTGCTCTTTTTAAATTATAAGTTTGTTCTCATTCCCTGAACGCAATATCTACTCTTATTGGTGAGGATACTGTAGTTTTAGTTTCTGTCTATTCCCTGAAAGTTTCTATTTTCTTTATTTTGGGCTCTTTCTCTTATCCTAAAAACTTTCGTCAAGTGTCTGTTGATCCTTGGTTGATCATTTATATTCAAGGACAAGGATGCCAAACTCTAAAAGACGCTCTTTATGTGTGGGCTATTCACTGTGAGACGGCTGGACAGAAATTGGGCTATTTCATTGGGGAACCAAAATGTTAGGATCTTTAAGCCTTTTCTTTGGGGCTATTTTTCTGCAGATAAGAATCGTTTCTCCTGCCTGAGACATACACACTTGGCTGCCAGCAGCTAAGGAAGAGGTGGGGGAAGAGGGTGAGGGTCAGCAGACTTTCACTTAATTTCTGTCTTTCCAGTCCTTGCCTCACTCATCCCTGCCCTCGGCTGGCCTCTACTTTTAGTTTTTAGAGGAACCTCCATACTGTTCTCCATAGTGGCTGCATCAACTTACATTCTCACCAACAGCACAGGAGGGGTTCCCTTTTCTCCACACTCTCTACAGCATTTATTTTTTGTAGACTTTTTGATGTTGGCCATTCTGACCAGTGTGAGGTGGTACCTCACTGTAGTTCTGATTTGCATTTCTCTAATAATTAGTGACATTGAGAATCTTTTCATGTGCCTGTTGGCCAACTGTATGTCTTCTTTGGAGAAATGTCTATTTAGGTCTCCTGCCCATTATTTGATCGGGTTGTTTGGTTTTTTTGATATTGAGCTGCATGCTGTTTGTATATTTTGGAGATTAATCCTTTGTCAGCTGGTTCGTTTGCAAATATTTTCTCCCATTCTGAGGGTGGTCTTTTTGTCTTGTTTATGGTTTCCTCTGCTGTGCAAAAGCTTTTAAGTTTAATTAGGTCCCATTTGTGTATGTTTGCTTTTATTTTCATTATTTAAGGAGACGGATCAAATAGATATTGCTGCGATTCATGCCAATGAGCGTTCTGCCTCTGCTTTTCCTGCAGGAGTTTTACAGTACCTGGTCTTACATTTAGGTCTTCAGTCCATTTTGAGTTTATTTTTGCATATGGTGTTAGGGAGTGTTCTAATTTCATTCTTTTACATGTAGGTGTCCAGTTTTCCCAGCACCACTTATCGAAGAGACTGTCTTTTCTCCATTGTATATTCTTGCCTCCTCTGTGGAAGATTAATTGACCATCGGTGTGTGGGTTTATTTCTGGGCTCTCTATTCTGTTCCACTCACCCATATGTCCATTTTTCTGCCAGTACCACACTGTTTTTTTTTTTTTTTTAAATAAGAAAGTCCTTCTAAGTCTGTCCAAGGTACTTTCTCTTTTTAAAAAAATAAATTTATATATTTATGGCTGCGTTGGGTCTTCATTGCTGAGCGTGGGCCTTCTCTAGTTGCAGCGAGCGGGGGCTACTCTTCGGTGTGGTGTGTGGGCTTCTCATTGCGGTGGTTTCTCTTGTGGCAGAACACAGGCTCTAGGTGTGCAGGCTTCAGTAGTTGTGGCACATGGGCTCAGTAGTTGTGGCTCGCAGGCTCTAGAGCGCAGGCTTGGTAGTTGGTGGCACACGGACTTAGTTGCTCTGTGGCTTGTGGGATCTTCCCAGACCAGGGCTCGAACCCATGTCCTCTGCATTGGCAGGCAG